GAGTATTGCCAAAGGTTGGACTATTTTGTAGTCATCTGCCACAGCCCCTCTCCTGGTCAGCACAAATTAATCAATGAGAATCCCAGAACCTGGCTCATCTCTGTGATGAAGAGAAAAGAAAGAAACATATGCCAAACCATCATAACTGGCTTCAATCTCCATTTTCAGAGCATGAATGAGACCTGGTATAATCTAGATGTCTGTGTGCCTCTGAGACCTCAAAGGAATCCTGGTGTGCTACCGCATCAAAAACCCCATGGTACCACAGACAGAAACTAAAAGCAGCAGAAGTCTGTGAATTCATGAAAGAAAGAAGGAAGGAAGGAAGGAAGGAAGGAAGGAGAGAGAGAGAGAGAGAGAGAGAGAGAGAGAGAGAGAGAGAGAGAGAGAGAGAGAGAGAAAAGATAAAAAGAAACAGGCAAATCCCCTAACTGGGAATTTACACAACTAAATCCAGCCAAGACACATACACAGAGAGTTTGAAAGGTACGTGGCAGCGCTTCCCATATAGAATTGAAAAATTCCCATAGAATTTTTATTCTATACAAATCCTGTTCATAAAGACTGGAAAAGGTGGTTGTTTTTTTTTCTAATGTGCAGGTACTAACACTAAGAGACAAGGAAAATGAACAAATAGAAAAACATGCCTCTCCAAAAGGAATAAGATGAGACTTTTAGACCCCAATTTTACAAACATGTAATATATGAATTACCTGGCAAAGTACTCAAAATAAACTTGGGAGAAAAAAGCATGAACAAAATGAAAAATTTAGCAGATACATAAAAAGAGCCAAAAGAAGTCTTGACCATAAAGAAAACAGTAACTAAAATGAAAAATTCAATAGAGAAATCAGTCTATATCAAAATATCATACTAGATCAAGCAGAAGAATCACTGAATTTAAAGATAAATCATTTGAAATTAGCCACTCAATGGCATAAAAAGAAAACAAAAAGTGAAAAAAATGAAGAAACTTGGTAACTTATAGGACACTATTGAGTAGACCAGTATAAATAATTATGAATGTCCAAGAAAGAAAAGACAGAGCCAAAAACTTACTCAAAGAAATAATTGGGAAAAACTACTGAAATTTGAAAAAAAAAGGAAGAAATATCTATATTTAGGAAATCTAAAAAAGAAGAACCCAAAGAATTCCTCAGTGAGAGACACTATAATTAAATTGTGAAATATCAGACATAAAGAGAACTGTGAGAGCAGCCAGGGAAAAGTGACAGATCACATTACAGGGGAACTTCCCTGAGACAGTCAGTGAATTTTTCAGCAGAAACTTTGCAGACAAAAAGGCAGTGGAGTGTCTTCCAAATGCAGAAAGATAAACCTGCCAACCAAGAATATAATACCTGACAAAAATTGTCCTTTAAAATTGAAGAGGACATAAAGAGACCAGTCTTACAAGAAACATTAAAGAGAATTCTTCAAGTTGAAATAAACCAAAGCTATCTAACACTATCTATGCATACATAAGTATAAAACTTGCTGTTAGAGGTAAATGTATAGAAAAATACAGAATAATGTAACACTGTGACAGTACTGTGGAAATTGCTTTTCAATGCTAGTATAAAAGTTAAAGACAAAATTTTTAAAACAATTATATAAAATATGTGTATGGTTACCCAAGACAAAATGATGTAAATTGTGATGTTAATAATATAAAGTTCCATGGAGAGGGTTAATAATGCAGTTTTTTTTGTTTTGTTTGTTTTTTGGGGGGATTGAACTCAGGGGCACCCAACCACTGAGCCACATCTCCAGCCCTTTTCTGTATATTATTTAGAGAGAATGTCTCACTGAGTTGCTTAGCACCTTGCTTTTTGCGGAGGTTGGCTCTGAACTCATGATCCTCCTGCCTCAGCCTCCTGAGTTGCTACAATTACAGGCATGCGCCACCGTGCCCAGCAATAATGTAGTTTTTATGTGCAATTGAGGTTATTATTATCTTGAAACAGACTGTAATAACTATACGATGTTTTAGGTAAGTTTGATTGTAATCACAACGAAGATATGTAAAATAAAGAAATAAAACATATCACTATAAAAATCAACAAAATATAAAAGAAAACAGTATAAAAAAACAGGAACAAAAGATTTATAAGATTGGCAGCAAACCTTTAACAAAATGCTAGTAATGTATTTCTGTGGTACAATAAAAAATAAACATTTGGTATTTGTACCTGATTCCTGACACATAGCTCCCATAACTCTAAATCTCCAGAGGTCTAAGTGCCTTCTGTTATGCTCAAGATAAGACTGATGACTGAATGCTACCTCAATGTACTTTTTAAATGGGAGCTGTTGCCAGAAAGACCAAAGAATCATTAGAGGCATGGAAATTTCCACTGCATTACAAGTCCCAGAAGGCAAGAAAGGATGAAGATTGAACTTAATCACCAAGGGCTAATGGCTTACTCTATCCACCTGTGTCACAAAATATTCATAAAAATCACTAAACAAAAGGGTTTGGAGAACATGCAAGCATCCATGTGTTAGGAGTGTGGCATGTCCCAAACCATGATGTTTAGGACTCTTCCTTCATTTGGCTAATTATTAGTAGCTTTTAAAATAAGCTGGTTAGAGCACGTAAAGGGTTTTCAAGAGTTCTGTAAGCTATTGTAGCAAATTAGTGAACCTGACCTGGGAGTACTGTGATAACTCTGTAGGCAACTCTTGACAAAAGTGTGGGTAACCCAGAGACCTGATACTTGCAAATGTCATCTTAAGAGTGTGGAGTATGACATTAATTCAGGGTACTGAGTACCAGAATTGCTCTGAATTGTAGGACACACAACTGGTGTCCAAGAGTTGGAGAAATGGTGTTAGAAAAGGCAACATAAATTTGGCATCAGAAGGAAAAATACCACACATGTTTGGAGTCAGAAATGTTGTAGCAAAAATATTCACCTGCCTCATTAATGATTACTTTACTATGAATAAATTAAATTCCTCAACCAAAAGACACAGGAGTGGTTGAACAGATGAAAAATCATCCACCTATGTGTTGTCTACAAGAGATTCAAGTTTACATATAAGGACAAATACAGACTGAGTTAAGTAATTCAACAAAATAGTCCATGCAAATTATAACCAAAATACAGCAAGGATGGCTAAACATGTCAGAAAAAAATGAATTTTGAGTCAAAAACTATTACAAGAGACAAAATTTTAATAACATCAAAGGATAATAAAAGGATCAATTCACCAGAAAAATACTATAATTATAAAAACAAATGTACTAACATCAGAGAACCTAAATATATAAAGCAAACATTGCAGAACTGAAGCAATTCAATGATAGTAGGATACTTCAATGCCCAACTTCCAATAAAGAATAGAACATCCACATAGAAAATCAATAAAGAAACATCAGTTGAACAACAAGGTAGACCAAATAGATATAAACAGAACATTCTACTCAAGAGCAGAAGAAAACATTCTTCTCAAGCACACATGAAACTTCCTCCAAGGTAGATCACATCCTAGGTCACAAAACAAGTCATAACCAATTTAAGAAGACTGAACTCACAAAAGTTCTTTTCTGATCACCATGGAACCTGGAATTCAATAGGTGAAGGAAGACTGAAAAATTCACAAATATGTAAAAATTAAACAATATGCTTTTTTTCTATTTATTTATTTATTTATTTATTCATTCATTTTGGTGCTATTGTTAGAATTCAAGGCACCATCTATGTAAGGCAAACACTTCACTACTAAGCTACATCCCCAGAACTTTTTTTTTAATTTTAATTTTGAGACAGGGCCTTGCTAAGTTTCCCAAGCTGGCCTTGATCTTCTGATCCTCCTGCCTCAGCCTCCAAGGAACTAGAATTAAAAGACATGCTGCCATTCCTGGCTGTAAACAACACTTTCTGGAACAATCTGGTGCTGGTGCATCAAAGAAGACATTTAGGGGAATTAGAAAATATCATAGGACAAATGAAAATGAGAACACTCTGTGCCAAAACTTATGGAATAGAGCATAACAATATGTGCCCACTCTGAAGATAAAGGAAGATCTGAAACAAAAACCTAACTTTATACCTCAAAGATCTAGACAAAGGAACAAAGCCAACCCACCTCATCAAAGAAAGAAAATCATAAGATTAGAAGAGAATTTAATGAACTAGAGAAGAAAAAAATTAATAAAATTGAGTTGAATTTTTGGAAAAATTGAGGAAATTCACAAAGTTTTAGCCACATACGAGAAAAAGGAGATTGAAATAAATAAAATCAGATATGAAAGAAAAGATATTACAACTGATGACACACAAATAAAAAGGGTCCTAAGAGACTGATAAGACCAACTGAATGCCAACCAATTGGAGAGCATAGAAGAAATGTATAAATTCTCACAAAGATATAACCTATTAATATCAAGTGATGAAGAAAAAGACAATCTTAATAGACTTGTAACTAGAATAGTAAAAATGCTGAATTGGTGACCAAAAATCTCCTACTAAAGAATATTTAAGAATTTGGGGCTGGGATTGTGGCTCAGCAGTAGAGCGCTCGCCTAGCATGTGCAAGGACTTGGGTTCAATCCTCAGCCCCATATAAAAATAAATAAATAAAATAAAGCTATTGTGTCCATGTACAACTAAAAAATGAATATTAAAACAAGAATATTTAAAGAATTTAAAAATATTTAAAGAATTGAAGCCAATCCTTCTCAAACTCTTCTAAAAAATGAAAGGTTAATAATCTTGAGAACTGTTTGCTAATCTTGTTCCCAGAATGTGCTGTCCCCAACTGCCAAACTGCAGAATGTACTCCCTTACCCACTCGCCCTGACCCGTCAATGAACTTCCCTCCCTGCCCTCTCCAAGGAAAGTATATAAGCTCTGCTTAAGCTGTACTCAGAGCTCTTTGCTCTATTCAAGTGAGCTCTGAGCCCTAGCATGCTGGACCCCCAATAAACCCTTTGCTGTTGCATGAGACAGTCTCTTGGTGGTCTCTTCCTCCGACGCTCGCCTGACCTTTACATCTGGAGGCCCCCAGCGAGATCCGGCAGCGGCGGATGAAAGACCCCAACGGGCTCCTCTCGGGGTAAGTAAGGCACCTCTTTCTGGTTTCTGGTTTCAGGTTTCAGGTTAGGGCTGGCAAAGTAGCTGTCGGTGAAGAGCATGAGCTCTCTCCGACGGTGGCTGACAGACATGTCACAGAGCCATAGCTCACGTCCCTGGGGGACGCCCCAGAGGACTCGGGAAATCGAGGAACAATAGTCTACTCGACTCAGTGATATTTTGTTTCAGATTTGGTATTGCCAGCCCATCGGGTTCTGCCGGCTACTCAGTGCTGGTCTCAGTGTTGGATGTCCATTGCCTGTCTTTATTGTCTTGTCTTGTCTGTGTCGTGTGTCATTACTGTCACTGTTTGTGTATCTTTCATTATGGGACACAGCACTTCAACGCCTCTGTCCCTGACCCTTGATCACTGGACCGAAGTCCGCTTAAGAGCTCAGAATCTTTCTTTTTCAGTAAAACGCCGGACCTGGCAGACTCTCTGTGCCTCAGAATGGCCCACCTTTGGAGTTGGATGGCCTCCAGGAGGATCTTTCTACTCCCCACTAATTCGAAAAGTCAGAGATATTGTATTTCAGCCAGGGCCACATAGCCATCCAGATCAACAGCCGTATATCTTAACTTGGCAGGACCTCTGCGAATCTCCTCCTCCGTGGGTGAAGTCTTTCCTTGTCCCTGCCCCCGCTCCTACTCCTTCCCCCACGATTCTATCTCTCAAACTCTCTGCTCCTCCTCCTCTTCCACCCTCTGTTCTCCCTGGGTCTCAAGATTTGACTCTACTGGACTCTCCTCCCCCTCCTTATCCCATGCCCTTGTCCCCCAACCCCCAACACCCTCTAAGTGATTCCCCTGCTGCTGACTCAGCCTCTCCACCATTGGAGAAAGCTAGGCCGGCCCAGCGCCCTCCAGATGACTCCCCCGCGGCACACAAAGCCCCTCTTCTCCTGGAGGAAGCTGGCCCAGCTAAAGGAACTTGCCGGCGGCGAATTATTAAAAACCCTGAAGCCCCCATGATACTCCCCTTCCGTCCTTACGGGCCAATGATAGACGATGGCCATGGAGGAGAAATGCAAGCCTACCAGTATTGGCCTTTCTCCTCTTCAGACCTATATAACTGGAAAAATAACAATCCCCCTTTTTCCGAGGACCCCACCCGGCTCACAGGTCTGATTGAGTCATTGATGTTTTCACACCAGCCTACTTGGGATGACTGCCAACAACTCCTAGGCACTCTCTTCACGACAGAGGAACGAGAGAGAATCCTCCTGGAAGCTAGAAAAAATATCCTCGGACCAGATGGGCGACCGACACAACTTCCCAACATAATTGAAGCTGACTTCCCCTTGAACCGACCCAACTGGGACCCCAACACCTTTGAAGGTAGGGAGCATCTGTCCACTTATCGCCGGGCTCTAATAGTGGGTCTCCGAGTGGCTGCTAGGCGACCAACTAATTTGGCCAAGGTAAGAGAAATTATTCAAGGGCCTGATGAATCTCCCTCTATGTTTCTAGAGAGAATTATGGAGGCATATAGGAGATATACTCCTTTCGATCCTCAGGCAGAGGATCAAAAGGCATCTGTCACGATGGCCTTTATTGGGCAAGCTGCCCTGGATATTAAAAGAAAGTTACAACGCTTAGATGGATTACAAGATATGACTTTGAGAGATTTGGTCAGAGAAGCTGAGAAGGTATACTATAAGAGAGAAACTGAGGAAGAGAAGGAACAAAGGAGGGAGAAAGAAAGGGAGCAAAGGAAGGATGAGAGAAGCAAAAGACAGATTAAGGCATTGACTAAGGTCCTGGTCAAAACAACAAATAGGCCAGAAATTAAGAAACAGGGAGACAGGAAGAGATACCTGGGCCCACGCCAGAGGCCACCCCTGGCCTCAGATCAATGTGCCTACTGTAAAGAAAAAGGACACTGGGTCAAAGAGTGCCATAGAAAGAAACAGCCACGCCAGCCAGCCATTCTGACTCTGGAGGATGACTAGAAAAGTCGGGGCTCAGATCCCCTCCCCGAGCTCAGGGTAACTTTTGAAGTGGAGGGGACTCCAGTAAACTTTGAGGTGGATAAAGGAGCAGTATACTCAGCCCTTAAGGCCCCATTGGGCCCTCTATCAAATAAAAGGTCTCTAGTTCAAGGGCTAATAGCAGTAAATATCGGGCTTGGACAACTAAGAGGACCATGGACCTGGGAAAAGGAAAAGTCCATCACTCCTTCCTAGTGATCCCAGAATGCCCAGCCCCATTGATGGGCAGAGATCTGCTCACCAAGCTCCGAGCCAGAATAACTTTTAACCCTGAAGGCCCCCAAATGGAATTTCTAAATCCTTCAGTAAAAACTCCTATAGTCATGGCTTTAACTATGTCAGTAGAAGATGAACATCAACTCTTCACACCCCCAAGACTGATCAAACAGGCAAGCTATCCCAGAAATGGATAACAGATTACCCAGATGCCTGGGCAGAAACTGCTGGGTTAGGCCTAGCTGTAAAACAACCTCCAATAATGGTGGAGTTAAAAACCTCAGCCTCCCCGATTAATTTTAAACAATATCCTCTGAGCAAAGAAGCTAAAGATGGGATAAGGCCTCATATTCAGAAATATCTGGCCTTAGGGGTCCTAAGGCCCTGTCAATCGGCCTGGAACACTCCCCTGCTACCAGTAAAAAAGCCAGGAACCGGGGACTATCGCCCCGTTCAAGACCTAAGAGAGATCAACCACAGAGTGCAGGACATTCACCCCACGGTACCTAATCCGTACAATCTGCTTAGCACTGAACCCTGAACGAAAATGGTATACTGTTCTGGACTTAAAAAGATGCTTTCTTTTGCTTGCCTCTGCATAAAGATGCTGTTTGCTTTCGAGTGGGTAGACCCAGAAACCAGAACGTCTGGTCAACTAACTTGAACCAGACTCCCACAGGGGTTCAAAAACTCCCCCACTCTCTTTGATGAAGCCCTCCACAGAGATCTCAACAACTTCAGAACTACACACCCCGAAGTCACCCTGCTTCAATATGTAGATGACCTGCTACTGGCAGCCGACACCAAGGAAAACTGTGAGTCTGAGACCCAAGCACTATTATCCGACCTTGCTCAACTTGGGTATAGAGCTTCTGTCAAAAAGGCCCAAATTTGCCAGCAAGAAGTAATCTTCCTGGACTATTCCCTTACGGGCGGTAAACGATGGCTCACTGAGCCCAGAAAACAAACCGTTGTGCAGATACCACCCCGATCTAACAGGAGGGCGGATGAAGAGGCTAAATTGGCAGCCCTAAACGGAGTTAACCATGTTAACACTTTCCACACCGGGGGAACATAAGTCAGGAGATTTAACTACGTCGGAGCACCCCGACAACTTAACATCTGAGGACACTGACACTGAACTCCTCGACTTCACTGAGCCCAGCCTGCAATTTCAGAAAGCCCTACACCATGTTAAAAATGTACATCAACTCACTCACCTTGGTTCAAAGAAACTGCAGGCATTCCTGAAAGATCAAGAACAGAGTTTTCCACTAACCGACTCACAGCAAAAGGAAATAGCTGAACGGGTAACAAAAGCCTGTTGGGTCTGTCAATTGGTTAATGCTTACCCCTCCAAGCTTCCTATAGGAAGGCGCCTTTGAGGAACCAGACCAGGACAATTTTGGTAAGTGGACTTTACTGAAATTAAGCCAGCAAGGTATGGATTTAAATATCTCCTAATCTTTGTAGATACATTTTCAGGATGGATTGAAGCCTTCCCCACAAAAAAAGAAACGACGCAAATCGTGGTCAAGAAGATCCTGGAAGATATTTTTCCAAGATACGGACTGCCTAAGGTAATAGGGTCTGATAATGGACTGGCGTTCATGGCCCAGGTAAATCAGGGGTTAGCCAGGACCCTGGGGATTAGTTGGAAGTTACATTGTGCTTATAGACCCCAGAGCTCAGGACAAGTAAAAAAAATAAATAGAACCATTAAAGAGACCTTGACAAATTAAGCTTAGAGACCGGCATAAAAGATTGGACTATGCTCCTGCCTTATGCACTGTTTTGTGCAAGAAATACTCCCTCTGTTTCTTTGTGTAACCTCACCCCCTATGAAATTCTCTATGGTTCTCCTCCTCCAGTAAGGGACCTGACCCCAACTCTAAGACCTAACAATCCCTTCTACACCCCCTTGCTTGACAGACTTAAAGCTCTTGAAAGAACCCAGCAATACCTGTAGAAACAGCTGGCCACTGCCTACCAACCTGGGGACGAAAGGACTCCACACCGATATCAAGTGGGAAACTTCGTCTACATAAGATGACATCAGGTGTCATCCCTGGAACCCCGCTGGAAAAGACCATACCAGGTGCTACTTATAACACCTACAGAGGTAAAGGTAGACGGAACCACTTCCTGGATCCATGCCTCTCATCTCAAGCCTGCGCCCTGTCCAGACTCTGGCTGGAAATTGGAAAAGACTGGTAACGCTTTCAAATTGCGTATTCACCGTGTGGATAGGGCTATGGACTCTCCCCTTGACCACCAGTAGTCCTAACCCTCATCAGCCCTTTCAGCAGCGATAGCTGATCACAAATCCTACTGGACAGGAAGTATGGTCTATCTCACATACAGCCCCCTTATCTTCCTGGTGGCCATCTCTCCACCCAGACATTTGTCAGCTGGCTATAGGTCTTTCCCACTGGGATATCCCTGATGAAGAGGATCCCACTAAAATTCCATTAAATCCCTTCTGCACCATAGACAATGAAAACCAACATTATGGATGTAAGGACACACGAGCCAGATGCAGGTTGGCTAGCCTAGATTACTATGTTTGCCCGGCGGACTATCAAAGCCACAAACAGTCACCGCTGTGTGGGGGACAAGCCGACTTCTTCTGTAAGTCATGGGGATGTGAGCATACAGGGGCTGCCTGGTGGAACCCAAACTCCTCATCAAATTCAGTACACAGCATTGGCCATATTACCAATTAGATAACCAAACCGATGGCCCCCAGAGGGGTCTCTAGATCCTCAAATTCTGCGTGACCTTTTTAACCTCTGCAAGTGCTCAAAGGGTGGAAGGAGATTCCTCTATGTTTAGGCCTTTTCCCTCCTTCGCTCACATCCTGAACTCTGCTTCTCCAATAGATCCTCACCCTCAGCCTTCTGCCCTAGACTCTCTGCTGTCACTCCCACCTCAGTAACCTGATTTCTCCCCTCCAATTACTAGATCAAAAACCCAAACCTCCGCCGGTTCTCAGACCATTGCCCCCTTGCTGAGGTAGCAGGTACTGAGGTACCTCTCCACCCACTCACTCCTCTCTTCTCCTGTCCGTGCCCACCCCGGGTCCCACCAGGTCCTCTTACCAGCTAACCCAAAGCTCAAACCAGCTGAAGAGAGCCCTCAGACCCCTATCCAAGATGTAATGAAAATGGCCTTTAAAGTTGCTTTGTCATCACTGAAAATAGGTTACTAAGAATTTAAAGTCTCTCACAGGCTTTTTGGGATACTCACTCCCGTCTTCCCCTCTGCTCTACCTGTTCTACTGCTCAAGTTTTTGTTGCTAGGAAAATCCTAAACCCCTTTCCCATTATCCACAGAGCTGCTCTCAGCCCCGCCTTCCCCGTCTTCCCCCTCTGTACCAGGCCCACAGAAAAGTCTTAACTGACCTTCTCCAGAAGTCTTCACCATGGCTGACTTTAGGACTTTCAGCAAAAGAGTCCCTATAAAAGAGTTCAGTATAGATAAACTTCCTCTTTTCGTGTTGCCCTGTTCTACTTGGCCACTGGCTGGAAAAATCAGCACTCCTAAGCTAGACACCCCCTTACTAGTTTTTCACAAAATATGTGAACAAGGCCTCTGGCCTTGAGCTGGGGCTTCACAGAGATGGCTACATTTCTAAGATAAAGAAGTTACCAACTGGGCTCCATGGTAACAGCTGGCAGGGGGAGGAAAAAAAAGGGGAGAAAAAGTTCTCCCCCTCCCAGATGTCCTTGAAAAGTTAACTTGCCCAGAACAGAGGAAAAAACAGAAACAAAAACTGCTTTTTATAAACTTCTGCAGACTGTGAACTTCTGAGCCCCTTCCCTTACATGTTGGGTACAAAATTCTGAAACTACCTAAACTTGGGGTTCAGGGGATTAATTGATTACAACAGAAGCAATGCCCTCTGAATCCGGTTGCAACCAAATAGGACTGTTTCCCTGTCTTCGGTACTATCTTAGGTGCCTTGCCTTGTCCGTCCCTACGACAGTATAATTCTATATACTTAAACATTGTTTATGTTTTCATAAAATGGTCAACAGATGTAATTAATTATGTAATGGTGCAGATGTTTCCCAGAGTGCTCTATCATGACACAGGTTCATTAGAAGATCAAATAGGGGGGCATACAACCCGGTTTCACCGGAAACCTGTATCCCTCACTTTAGCCATCCTATTAGGAATAGGAGTTGCTGCAGGGGTGGGCACAGGAACCACTGCCCTGGTCCATGGGACACAACAAATGACCCAATTAGAAGCAGCAATAGACCAAAACTTAAAGGTATTAGAAACCTCCATCACAGCTTTGCAGGAATCTTTAACCTCTCTCTCTCAAGTTGTTTTACAGAACAGGCGAGGGTTGGACCTCCTCTTCATGAGAGAAGAGGGCCTTTGTGCTGCATTGAGGGAAGAATGTTGTTTTTATGCTGACCATACTGGAGTTGTAAAAGAATCTATGAGTAAATTAAGAAGACGCCTTGAAGAGCGTCAGCGAGAGAGAGAGAGGCCCAAAAAGGGTGGTATGAGTCTTGGTTCACACAGTCCCTCTGGTTAACTACGCTTTTATCAGCCCTGGCCGGTCCTTTAATAATCCTCATATTATTGCTAACTGTAGGACCTTGTTTGCTCAATCGTGTAGTTTCCTTTCTCCAACCTCAAATTGGACAAGTCAAACTTATGGTAATCAGACAACAATATACCCCACTAGCAGACATAGAATGTGACACCCCCCAATGATCACTTTTATGATTAAAAGTAGCCAGAAGAAGAAGTGGGGAATGAAAGGTTAATAATCTTGAGAACTGTTTGCTAATCTTGTTCCCAGAATGTGCTGTCCCCAACTGCCAAACTGCAGAATGTACTCCCTTACCCACTCGCCCTGACCCGTCAATGAACTTCCCTCCCTGCCCTCTCCAAGGAAAGTATATAAGCTCTGCTTAAGCTGTACTCAGGGCTCTTTGCTCTATTCAAGTGAGCTCTGAGCCCCAGCATGCTGGACCCCCAATAAACCCTTTGCTGTTGCATGAGACAGTCTCTTGGTGGTCTCTTCCTCCGACACTCGCCCGACCTTTACAAAACTCTTCTAAAAAATAGAAGAGAACATTTCCAAACTCATTCTGAGACTATCAAAATTAAAGAAGATTTAAAAAGCAAAACCATAAAACAATATTTGTGATGAACATAGAAGCAAAAATCAATATCAAAATACCAGAGAACTGAATTCAACAACACAAATAAAGGGATAATACATCGTGACTAAGTGGGATTTATTCTTGGGATACAAGAGTAGGTCAATATATGAAAATCAATTAATATGATTAACTAAATAAACAGAACAAAGGACTAAAAATCACTTGATTATCCTAATAGATGCAGTGAAGGAATCTGAGAAAATTCAGCACCATTTCATGATAAAAATTCCAACAACTAAGAATAAAAGGATATTACCTCCACATAATAAAAGCCATCTATGGAAAGCTAATATGTTCAACGGTGAAAAAATAAAAAGTTTTTCCTTGAAGATCAAGAACAAATAAAGGGAGTTTTTCCCCAGCCCCTAGGGGGTAGTGCTGCAGATACCAGTCCTGGTCTGTTGGCAGCAGCACCAGGTTACTGTGGGTTTCTTGCACTTCTGCTTCCCAACCCCCAGGATGGTGCAGGCATCTGGGGAGATATGGCTAGCTCCTGTTGCCAGGAAGGCACAGGCAAGGAGGAGAGGGTTTTTGTACTTCGCCTATGGCAGCAACTTAATGATGGAGATGATCTACCTCTAAAACTCCTTGGCCACATTCTTGGCTTGCCTGCAGGATTTTAAGGTTGACTTTGGCAATTTCCAAGGCAAAACCAGTCAGAAGTGGCATGGAGGCAAGGAGGTGTTTTAATAGAAGTGAAAGTTTCAACTCAAGAAAGGAAAGAACCTATCAAAACTATCTGATGACAAATTATGACCACACTTCCCCATCCCGAATATATAAAAAGGTTATTTGCATGGGTACAAAAGAAAACAGTTTGCCACTGGAGTATCAAGAGAGCCTAAAAGCAACAGAAACAACCAGGTGTAGTGGCACATGCTGGTAATCCCAGTGGCTCTGGAGACTGATGGCAAGTTCAAAGCCAGCCTCAGCAAAAGCAAGGCACTAAGCAACTCAGTGAGACCCTCTCTGTAAATTAAAAAATACAAAATAGGGCTGGGGATGTGGCTCAAGTTCAGTGCTCCTGAGTTAAATCCCCAGTATCCACCCCCCGCCAAAAAAAAGGCAATAGAACCAAAGGACTATAATGGAAAGGTCTCAGAAGACCTTATTATCAAAAAGGGGGAGACAAGAGCTCTTTAGAACATAACAAAATATATCTGAGAATAAAGAATATTCTATGTACTAATATAAAATATATTTAACATTTAAGAACAGGGATCTGTGATATCTCCATGTTTAATCTGTTTTCAGCAATATTCTGAAGGGGAACCTCAC